TCCCAAATGATTGTTCAGGATCTCCCCATGAGGTTCTCAGGCTTCCGTTGGGCCCCTCAGGACTCTTCAGGATATCCGTGAATCTTTCAGGATCCCCAAGGATTCCTCAGGACACTTCAGGATTCGTCAGGATCCACCATGTCTCCTCAGGACGCCTACGGACTCCTTCGCATCCCCCTATGGTTCCTCAGGATCCCCTCAGGGGACCCCTCAGGATTCACTTGGGTTCCTTAGCATTCGTCTGGATTCCTATGGATTCCTCAGTGCCCACAGGGATTCCTCAGGATCCCCCAGGTTTCTTCTGGACTCATCACGATTCCTTCGGTTTCGTCCGAATTTCTCAAGACCCTGCAGGATTCTCCAGGAATTCTTCCGAGTCCCAAGGATTGCTCAGGATCCCGCAGGAATCCGGGGGATCCCCAAGGATTCTTTTGGATTTCCCCATGGGGTTCTGAGGATTCCGTTGGGCCCTTCAGGATTATTCAGGGTATCTTCGAATTCCTCGGGATTCCTTAGGATTCCTAAGGACTCCTCTGGATTCCTCAGGACTCCCCAGGATCCCTGAGGACTCCCCCAGACCCTCCGCCCCCCCCAAATGAGTCCGATGGATTCTTCCTCAGGACCCACAGCGATTCTTCAGGATCTCCTAAGATTCCTCCGGATGCTGAATGCCTCCTCAGGATCCCCAACAATTCCTCAGGATCCCCTCTGCGTGCCTCTCAGGATTCCTCCAGACTCCTTAGCATTCCTCCGGATTCCACAGGATTAATCCAGATCCCCATTTCTGGACTCATCAGGATTCGTCAGGATTCGTCAGGATTCAGGATTCCTCCGGATTCTTCCCGAGGCCCCATGGTTCCTCAGGATCCCACAGGAACCCTTGGGACCCCAACGGATTCTTCGCAATCTACCTCGGGCTTCCCAGGGCCCCGCTGGGCTCATCAGGAATCCTCTGGTCACACTCGGATTCCTCAGGATCCCCTCGGCTTCTCCTGGGCTCATCCGCATTCCTTTTTGGATTCGTCCGGATTTCCCAGGACACCTCAGGACTCGTCAGGATTCCCGAGGACTCCTCAGGATTCCCCAGGACCCCCCCCCTCCAAAAGAGTCCGATGGATTCCTCCTCAGGATCCACGATGATTCCTTAGGATCCCCCAAGGTTCCTCAGGATGCCTGAAGACCCCGAAGGAGCCCCAAGGATTCTTCAGGATCCCCTCAGGGTACCCTTCAGGATTCCTCTGGACCCCTTCGCATTCTTCAGGATCCCCCAGGATCCCCCATGACCCACAAGGATTCCCCAGGATCCTCTAGGCTTCCTCTGGGCTCTCATCAGGACTCCTCAGGATTCGCTTGGGTTGTTCATGACCCTGCAAGATTCCTCAGGATTCCTCCCGAGTCCCCAGGATTCCGCAGGATCCAACAGGAACCCGTGGGACCTCCAAGGGTTCTTCAGGATTTCCCCAGGGTTTCTCAGGATCCCGGGGGGCTGCTCAGGATTCCTCCGGATATATTAGAAGTGTTCAGGACCCCCAAGGACTCTTCAGGACACGTCAGGATTCTTCAGGACCCCCAAGGATTCCCTAGGGTTCACCAGGACCCCCCCGCTTCCAAAGAGTCCAATGGTTTCTTCCTCGGGATCCACACGGATGCTTCAGGATCCTCCTCAAAGGTTTTCCAGGATGCCTGAAGGCTCCTTGCGATCCCACAGGATTCCGCAGGATCCCCTCATGGCACCCTCAGCCCCTCAGGATGTCCCATGACCGCTTAGCATTCTTCCGAATTGCACAGAACTCCTCTGGACACTCTGTGACTCCTCAGGATCCCCTAGGTTCCCTCTGGACTCATCAGGACTCCTCAGGATTCGTCTGGGTTTTTCCGGGTCCTTCAGGATTCCTCAGCATTCCTCCCGAGAACCCAAGTTTCCTCAGGACCTCACAGAACACCCTGCTGGATTCCCCAAGCATAATTCCGGATCTCGCCAGGGTTGCTCAGGATCTTGCAGGCCTGCTCGTGGTTCCTTGGGATATGTTAGAATTCCTCAGGGCCCCCAAGGATTCATAAGGACACTTCAGGATTCCTCAGGGCTCCCGAGGACTCCTCAGGATCCCCGTCGTCGTCGTCGTCGTCGCCGCTGCCGTCGTCGTCGTGAGGGTCCCTGAGGGTGTCTTAGCTGCACACGCGGCCGGAGAAGGGGGTAGCGCACGGGGAGCGTTTTCTGTGGAGGGAACAGCACAGATGACGGGGCATACGGGGCCGGAGTGTACGTTTGCCCACCGCGGCGCGAAACCGCCGCAGATGGCCTCTCGCAGGCCGGAGAAGTCGTCGTCACACAGCGTCTCAGGCCAACCACCGGCGCCCGTCCACCTGCGGAGTCCACCGGCGTTGTTGTTGTTGTTGTTGTTGTTGTTGTTGTTGTTGTTGTTGTTGTTGAACATTATTTATTCTAAAGAATAATTATTGTTGGGCCCCCTGGTGCGCGCCCCCCCTGCGCCGCCTAGGCCGCAGCTACATTTTCATCATTTTCGTGAGGAAGCCTCAGAAAAGAGGGTGTGTACAGGATCCGGTTGTTTTGTTGTAATCCGCTTTCCCTTGCAAAAAACAATAGAAAATGACATTTCTTGTTCTAATATAATCAAATTTCAAGAATCCCTTGCAAAAAATAAGGTAAAGTGGACATTCGCGCGCGCAAGACGAAATCCTTCCAAAACCTTAGTGTTCGCAGCGATTTTAACATAAAAACATCAAAAAACCAATGGTTTTTCAACAAAAAAATGTCAAAATCTCATCCCGCGCGCTCTTGCGGATTCGTAGGAAACCCAACACTTTTTAAACATTTCTGTCAAACGGGCTTTTGCGAGCAACTTTTTCGAACTTCTGCGACAACGGTTGCGCACCTGCCAGGGCCATCATCCCTGTCAAATAATACCATGCGGGACACATTCGTTTTTTCTTCGCGCGCGCACGCCGTCGTCGTCGGCCGCGGGGCCCTGAATAGTAGCCACGGTCGTCCGCATGCCACGAAGTGAAGTGTCCGAACGTCATAGGGCGGGAAGCTGGGTGTGGGTGGTGGCGAAGAGTCGTTTGGAAATTTGGTAGAGCTTGAACCGGCCCCCCCACAAAGTGGGGGTATTGCCCGCCTCCTATGAAAACCCTGGCACTGGTGAGAACGGAGTGTCCCCACGTGCTAGTAATTGTTGTTGTTGTTGTTGTTGTTGTTGTTGTTGTTGTTGTTGTTGTTGTTGTTGTTGAATTCTCAGTTCTGAAAATAATTCTTGCTGATCCCTCCCCACCGGTGCATATGGTTTTTTCTCAATCAAAGTGTGCCCCTCGACGCTCGCACCCTGTTTTTTGACAGGGAAAATCTTCCTGCTCAAACTGGCCCCCTGGCCCCCGGGTTACAACAACAACGGCTCCCGCCTGAGACTTCCTTACAATTCAGCCAGGACCCCGCTCCCGCCCGAGACTTCCTCGCATTTTATTCAGGAATCGCTCTCCCGGCGCTCTGGAGTCGCGCTCTCGCTGGAGACTTGCTTGCAACTTACAGAAGAATGGCCTTGCGTTGGAATTTCCTGTTTCGTGTCCCCGCTGTCGCCCTTCGTGGCCTACTTCGTGCCTTTCGTGGCCCTGCTGTCGTTCTCTCACGCTCTCGCTTTCGCTCGTCGCCGCCGTCGTCGTCGTCGTCGCCGTCGTCTTCGACGTCGTCGTCGTCGTCGTCGCCGTCGTCGGCCCCCTGTCCGTCCCTCTTGGGGTCGGGTCGACGGTCCGCGGCCGCCCCGCCGATCAGCGCTGCCGCTGGCCAGGCCGACGGTCCGCGGCCGCCCCGCCGATTGCCGGGGCCCGGCCTGCATGGAAGAAAGGTATACCTCAAAAGGGGTTCGATCGAAGACGAAGAGGGCGGGTATCGAGGGTTTGGGAAATACGCGTGATTGGACACTCGAGCATGTAAGGGCGATCCGTCTTAAAATTATTGTTGTTGTTGTTATTGTATTTGTTGTTGGTGGTGTTGTTGTTGTGGTTGTGGTTGTTGTTATTGATGCTGCTGCTGTGGTTGTTGATGATGTTGTTGTTGTTGGTGTTGTTGTTGTTGTTGTTGTTGTTTTTGTTGTTGTTAATGTTGCTGCTGCTGTTGTTGGTGTTGTTGTTGTTGTTGGTGTTGTTGTTGTTGTTGTTGTTGCTGTTGCTGTTGTTGTTGTTGTTGATAGTGTTGCTGCGGTTGTAGTTGTTGTTGGTGGTGTTGTTGTTGGTGTTGTTGTTGTTGTTGTTGTTGTTGTTGTTATTGTTCTTGTTTGTTGTCGTCGTCGTCGGGACGTCCCACTCGCGAACCACCCCGCGACCCGCCCCGCGACCCGCCCCGCGACCCGCCCCGCGACCCACCCCGCAACCCACCCCGCGACCCACACCGCGACTCACCCCGCGACCCACCCCGCGACCCACCCGCGACCCGCCCGCGACCGACCCGCGACCCACCCCGCGACCCACCCGCGACCCGACCCGCGACCCACTCGCGACCCACCCCGCGACCCACCCCGCGACCCACTTGCGACCCACCCGCGACCCATCCCGCGACCCATCCGCGACCCACCCGCGACCCACCCGCGACCCAACAGCGACCTACCCGCGATCCACTTGCGACCCACCCGCGACCCACCCGCGACCTACCCACAGTGGTTTAACCGAAAAGTCGGCGCCTGCGGCGGGTTCGTTGTATCATTTGTGAATTTTTGGCGCCCGCGGCGGGCTTCTCCAGAGTCTCGTAGACTGCCGACGTCCCCACCGCTCCCTCACTCTTCTCCGCACCTGTGGGGTGCTACGTGCGTGTATATATATACACATAATGAATACCACCTTTCTCTCTCTCTCTCTCTCTATATATATACACATGTACGTATACAGAGTTCGGATCATGGTGACGATGCGCATGTTGAGCCCAATTCCATTGCTGTTCGCTGGGCCCTCCTTCGTGCAGCACGCCCTGAGCGGCGAGACGGCCCGTGCGCAGGATGGCCCTGTGCAGCGGGGAGTGGGTCAGCGAAGCCGTGCTTTGGACCGCGGACTGGAGGCTCGGCCACCGCTCGCTGTTTCTGTGCTGCAGGGGCACAGGCAGCCGCCAGCATCAAGGCATGGATGCCTTGCATACCCTCGTGCCATTCCGTTTTTGAGATTCTACGAGCGTCGACCGGAGTCGGGCAGCCGAGGGGATGGCGCTGAATTGGCGTCGTGGAGCGCCGATGGAGCGCCGATGGAGCGCCGATTGCGCGTCGATCGGCGTCGATTCGCCAGCGCCAGCGGGATGGTGTGGGAGGCTCGCATGAGTTGCCACCGAACAGTTTTTTTTGTCTGCTGCAGGGGCAGTGGCAGCCCCCAACGTGGGGGCGAGTACGATGAGGGTACAGTCCCAGACTTGTTTTTGGTTGTTTGTTGTTTTTTGTTGTTTGTTTGTTTGTTTGTTTGTTTTTTTTTCGATTTGTTGTTTTCTGTTGTTTGTTGTTTGTTTGTTGTTGTTTTTTGTTGTTTGTTTGTATTTTCGACACCTGTCTGGGGGCCCTTCACGAGCCCCTGGGGCCGCCGAACAATGACTCGGGAGGAAGAGCCGGCCCCAGGGCAGCGGTGCAGACCTCCTGGGGATCCGCGCCTCGAGACCACTGGATCGCCTGAGGTCTGGGAGAGGCCTGCCAGCAGGTGCTCCACGGAGATTGGAGAGGCCTGACGGCCGGTGCCGCCGACCCCGATCGAAAGGGCCAGGAGTGGGGGGAGGAAGCGGAGGATGAGGAGGAGGAGGAGGAGGAGGAAAAGGGGGAGGAGGAGGAGGAGGAAAAGGAGGAGGAGGAGGAGGAGGAGGTGCTCCACGGAGATTTCTCTCAACCCCCCTTGGCCCCGGGGACCCGCAGAAGTAAGCTTTCGGGCATTCCGGGGCCTTCAGAGATCGACGACGGGCGTGCCCCAAGGTGTCTCGTGCCAGGGCTTCTTGTCGTGCGTGCTTGCTGTGTGCGCGTTCCAGCTGCCCCTCTCGGTGCGATCGATATCGGCACGAACAACGGCAAAATCTACAGTCGGGGCGCTGAAGCAGGAACCCTTTTCGTTGGGGAGGGGCTCCGTGTTCCTGACTTGTGTCGCAGCTTTCCTCAGGTCTTCCTTAGGCTTCTGGTGGGAAGTCGAAGTCTGACTTATGGAAAACAAGGGCCTCGTTCCTAAATTTTGGGTTCCTCAGGTCAACGCCCCGACTGTGCTGTCCATTTGAAGCAGGACTCGTGGTCGGCGTCGCCTCGGACGTTGTCCACTTGATCCAGGTTGCTGCCTGCCCAACGGCGGCCGCTGTCGGCTTTTGGGGCATCTGTTGCTTGCTGTTGGGCAGCGCGTCCAAGTCTTCCCGTCGGCGCCGCGTCCGCTGCAGGGTGCGCGCTTCGAGGGCGGCTGCTTCGGGCGTTCTTGCAGAGGCCGCCAGCTCTACCCAAACACTCATCTGGCCAGGCCCTTCCTGGGCCTAGAATTAGCGCACACGCCCTCCACCTTCCATCCGCATCCCATCCTTGATTTCCCGACCCGCTCGTCAATCCTCCGTTTTCCTTCTCCGTCCCTGGCTTGTCCGCGCATCGAGCAGTGAAAGACAGTTGGGAGGGCACAACGGCGAGGAATGTTCAGGTGTGGCCCCCATTTCTGCCAACGGAGGAGGGGAAGGGAGGAGGAGGGGGAGGAGGAGGAGAAGGAGGATGAGGAGGAGGAGGAGCAGGAGAAGGAGGAGGAAAAGGAGGGAGGAAGGATGATGATGATGATGATGATGATGATGATGATGAGGAGGAGGAGGAGGAGGAGGAGGAGGAGGAGGAGGAGGAGGAGGAGGAGGAGGAGGAGGAGGAGAGGAGGAGGGAGAGGGAGAGGAGGAGGAGGAGGGAGGGAGGAGGGAGGGAGGAGGGAGGAGGAGGAGGAGGGAGGAGGGATGAGGAGGAGGAAGAGGAGGGAGGAGGAGGATGACCCTGACTTCTCATCCTCCCGCTGCTAGTCTCGTCTGAGCCCCTGTGGCTCGGGCGGGCCCGGTCGGGGCGGCCTCCAGCTCGGCAGGGGCCTCGCCGCGCCTGCCTCGCAGGCGGGGCCAGCCCGGATCGCGGCGCGCTCTCGGGCACCCTTTTGTCAGAAGGCGAAGGCCCACCCCCCACCCCCCAGTCCCGACGCCCATCCCCGAGCCTGCGATTCGAGGGGTCGGGACTGGGGGGGGGGGGGGGTTCTCCACAGGGCTGGACCTGAGCGGTGTTCTGGCGATTTCGTGGGCTGTTTTCGGTTCGACTTCGTTTTGCGGTGAAGGCGGATTGAAGACAAAACGAGGGAAAACGAGAACAAAACGAAAACGAAAAACACCGTTTAGGTTCAGTCCTACTTCTCCATTCCTAGGCCCCGAAAAGCCACCCCCACACCGTCCCGAACCCCGGGATCGCGGGTTCGGGGATGGGGTCGGGACTGGGGGTGGGGGTGGTTTTTCGCCTTCTCTCCGAGTGGCGTCCAGCCGCGGCGACGAGGGCCTCCCCGAAGGCCGAGTGCCATTGTCTGAAGCCGCCCCCCTCTGATCTGCACCCTCGCCGCGCGGCGGTGGCCCCGCTTGGGTCTCGCGGGGCCGAGGAGGACGCCCTTCGGCGGCGAGCGTGGGGGGATCTACGGACAAGCCGCCTCCCCTGTCAGCTTACAGGGCCCCTGCTGGCGGCGAGCGAGGGGGGGAATGGAGAGAGAGAGGAGGGGTTCTCCGAAGGCGGCGGGACTTCTCAGAGGCCCTCGCGCTCGCTGAGAAGTTTTCTCCGCGTCTTCGGGGAAACCCTATGGAACTCCTTCGGGAGGACGAGGAGGAAGAGGAGGAGGAGGAGGAGGAGGAGGAGGAGGAGGAGGAGGAGGAGGGGGCGACGTCAGCCTCGTCGAGGAGGAGGAGGAGGCGGAGGGAGGAGGAGGAGGAGGAGGAGGAGGAGGAGGAGGAGGTCTCCTCCTCACTTCGCACGGGGCGCGCGGCCGAGCTCCAGCTTCCAGACGTCGCCGTGGGGGGACGCGGGCCCCGAGGAGAACGGGCCCTGAGGTTGTTGTCGCGGCCCTCGAGCTCCCGGGGCCCTCCGCGGGCCCCGGGGCCGTCCGCGAACGGCTCGGGGGAGGAGCCGGCCCCAGGGGAAGGGCCGAGGCCTCCGGGGGTCGACGCTCTGAACACGGCCCCAAAAGGCTCCCAGGAGGAGGAGGAGAAGGAGGAGGAACAAGTGGAGGAACAAGTGGAGGAGGAGGAGGAGGAGGAGGAGGAGGAACAAGTGGAGGAACACGGGTCCTGAGGTTTTTTCGCAGCCATCGAGCTGTCTGGGCGCCCTCCGCGGGCCCCGGGGCCGTCAGCGACCGGCTCGGGGGAGGAGCCGACCCCGGGGGAAGGGCCGAGGCCTCCGGGGGTCGGCGTGCTGAGCACATCCTGTCTGGACGCCCGAGATGGGCACGGAAAGAATGGGCACGATGCCCAACAGCAGTTCCTGTTCATTCTGAACAGGATTCGCTGTCCACGCCGCCGCGGCCTGTGTCCATTCGAGACAGAAGGCCGCCTGCCCAACAGCGGCCGCTGTTGGTTTGGGACAACATTAGCTGTTGGGCATTGTACCCATTTTTTCGGTGCCCATTTCGGGCGTCCAAATCCTGGCGTCGGGGGTCTGGGAATCCGGGATCTCTGAGACCCGGCAGCTCTGGAGCACGTTTCGGGCGACTCGGCCTTTCCAGCGTGTTCCGCGTCGGGCGCGGAGTAATGGGGTAGCAGTACATGGGGGGGCCGCGAGGGCTGCAGAAAAGGGGCCCTGAGTGGGGACCTGTAGGGTCCGAGAGAGGCACCGTTCGTCCCGCCTCCCCCCATCCTTCGCTCCCCATGAATGCGCCCCCAATCCGCCGCGCTCTGCCCTGAGGTCCCAGGGCCCAGGACCAGTTTCCCTCGGGACCCGTTTCCCCATGCTGCTAGTTCGGTCCAGAGGCCGCTGGCCTCCTCGTGGCGCCTCTCGGCGGTCAACGCGGCACTTCTTTTCTGTGTGTTCACCTGCTCGCTTTTTCCTCGGGTTGGTTTCGACAGCGGCTGGGGAAGGTTCGCTCCGCATTTCGGCGGCGAGCGAGGGAGGGAAGTGAGACGGAAAAGGCCTTCTCAGAAGATGGCTGGACTTCTCAGAAGCCCTCGCGCCTTCTGAGAAGTGTCTCGTGTCGTCGGGGAAGGCTTATACAATTTCTCAGAAGGCCGTGGGACTTCCGAGCCTTCTGAGAAGGCCATCTCATTCTCATTCCTTCTCCTTCTCACTTCCCCCCCTCGCTCGCTGCAGAGCATAGGCAAAACGCACGGGGCTTTGGACTCTGGGTCGGGATTCTGGAGGCCATCCCTTCGAGGCTGGGATGTATCCAGGTTCGCCGCCTGGGGATCTCGGAAGGCGATGGATGTGGACGCATGCGTGCCCCCTGGGGCCCAAATGTATCCACATCCATCGTCCCCTTGGTATTCCATTCCAGGGCATCGGTTCTCCAGGCGGTGGGAATTGGTACATCTCGGCCTTGCAATGGGCTGGGTGGGGGAGTCTGCTGGCCAGAGCTCGGCAGAAGCGTCAACACAGTGACTCTATCCTCACGGTTGTTTTCCCTGTGGCCCTGGCCATGGCCTGAGAAACGACCCCCTCCAGAGCGCCTTTGGGAGAGTTGCCTTTTATTCCTCATACGGTGAAGGCTGGCAGTCGGCATCCAGGACCCCACTGCACCAGTTGGAAGCAACCTTGAAACCTTGGAATGTTGGACCTGCCTCTCTGATTGGAGGCACATGGGCGAGCTCATGTGCTGCTACGTGTGCCCGATCCTCACTGTGCCTCCACCCCTTGTCGCTGGCGGCACTGCTTGCGCAGCAAGGAATGCATTATTGTACAAGCAGTACGGGATGATGGATTATTCCTAGGAATATGTTGTTGCATCTCATTCCGTAGTCATCAGAATGTGCCTAAACACGTATTGATGGCGCGGCTTGCTACGCAATACGCGTATAGTGTGGCACGGTGTGCGTTGGGAGAGGGGGTGGACGAGAAGGGGCGAGGACTAGGATACGGATGTCGAGCCATCACGCGATACATTGAGATGTAATGCGCAGCACCCCGCAGATGCGGACAAGAGTGCGGGGGCGGTGGGGACGTCGGCAGTCTGCGAGACTCTGGAGAAGCCCGCCGCAGGCGTCAAAGTTTCACACATCATACATCGAGCCTGCGGGTGGGTCGCGGGTGGGTCGCGGGATGGGTCGCGGGTGTGTCGCAAGATGGGTCGCGGGTGGGTCGCAAGTGGGTCGCGGACGGGTCGCGGACGGGTGGCGGGTGGGTCGCGGGTTGGGTCGCGCGTGGGTCGCGGGGAGGGTCGCGGGTGGGTCGTGGGTAGGGTCACGCGTGGGTCGCGGGGAGGGTCGCGGGGTGGGTCGCGGGGTAGGTCGCGGGTGGGTCGCGGTGGGGACGACGACAACAAACAACAACACCACCACCACCAACAACATCAGCACCAACACCACCAACAACAACATCAGCAGCATCAACAACAACAACAACATCAACAACCACACCAACAACAATAACAGCAACAACGCAACAAGCATAATCCTCACCACGGATTCCCACTTCAGCCACGCACCCAGGGACAATGAATGACCGTTCGGCCCCCTCGCTCTGACGATCTGGCAGGCTGTAGTGCGCCTTGGTATGCCTGTCTTCTCGCAGTTGGCCTGTGGCAGACGTGGTGTTTGCATATCATGGCAGTTGTTTAGGTTCACCAGGGCCATCAGTTATGGTCGTATAAGCTGCATAAGCCAAAGTTCGTCTGCTACGGCATATCTGGAGGCACCCCTCCTGGTTAACAATTTGCAAGATGATTGGAAGTTCTGCCATACTCAGTCGACGGTCCTCTGTGCCCTCGAAGAAATCACCCCCAGCTGCCGCGGACGGGGCGAGCGTGCACTGTTTGCGCCTGTATTTTAGGTGTTCTGCGGCGGATTCGGACGTTGTGTGGTCGGCTGGTGCATGCCTCGGGCGGCGGTGCCTTTCCACCTTCTCATCCTCCCCCCTCCTGCCTCCTCCCCGTTTTTCCTTTGGCTCCACCTGTCCTCGTGGCCGTCGCTTCTGCTGGTGATGAGTGCAACCTTTCCCTCGCAGCGAGATCTGTATCGGACTGTGCTGTAGCATCGGCAGTTTATTTTTATGTCATGAACCTTCTTCCTGCCATTTCCACGAACGGCTCATGCTGTCCGAGTTCCTGGTTTGGGCACTGGGTTGAGATGTAACGTAGTGGCTTCCCCACTTATCCTGATGCCCTCCTCCTTTCAGCTGAGCCCTCACTCACGCCCTCGGTTGGATCCGTCCTCATCCGATGTTCACTCCCAGGGTCCGGCCGCTCTCTTCTGAGCCTCCACGTGTCCTTCCGCGCTCTTCCCCGACGCCTCCCGGTGGCAGCCGTGACGTGTCCCTGCCGCCTTACCACCCTTGCGGCCCTGCAAGCCAGCGCAGGTTGAGCCCGAGACCTTCTTCAAGGTGGTTCACTCTCATCCCAGGTCGCAGGGAGTGGATCGTGGGGGGGAAACATTTCCGCACCTACACGACCACCCTTCGGGTCAGAAGGAGGCTGTGTGTGGGGGGGAAGGAACCAAGGTCTCACCCGATCGATCTCATGTTCGATCTCACTATCGATCCCACTATCGATTGCATTGTTTTGCCCGCGTGCTCGTGCCTTCGACGTTCGTATAATATCATAACAAGAACAAGCAAGAACACGTGGCACCATCGATCTCACTATCGATCTTGGTGGCATTTATTAGCCTAGCTCTTTACTACGAAAGTACAGGACAATACGTTTGGCCATCTACCTATCGATCTCATGTTCATCTACATATCGATCTTACGATCGATCTGACCACCGAAATCCCGCCTTTACCGATCTCACGATACATCGATCTCACAGTCGACCTCACTATCGATCTCACCATCGATAGGTCTATCTATCACGCTGTCGATCTCGCAATCGATTTCGCAATCGACCCCGCGGGACACCGTGGGGCACCAGGGGACACCACGCCACGGGACACCACGGGACACCACAGGACACCACAGGACACCAGTGGCACGACCTTCGGCCGCCGCCGGCCAACCAGGGGGCAGAGTCACTTGTCTCCGGTTCGCCCCCGCGACGGCAGGTCTCCGGCGGGCTTCCGCCGTCCAACCCGGGGGGCAGAGTCAGTGGGCTCGTTATCGCCATACCCATCGGGAGACTCCATGGGGGGGGATCCCATGGGATCCCCCCCCTGGGATCCTATCCCCCCATGGGATCCCCCCCCATGAAGAGTCTCCCGAACCCAGGACTCTCGGTGGAGCTCCCTATGGGCCACGATGCTGCAGCGCGTGCTGACGCGCCAGGCCGCAAGGGCGGAGAAGGCCGCGGGCGCGCGCGGGGCCGCCGTGCTGGAGGATGCCAGCGCCGCTGGCGTAGGCTCCAACAGCGGCACGGGACCGCTGCTCGCCAGCAGCAAGCCAGATGACAAGGCCACGGAACGCTGTATTCGGTTGGGGAGACGCATGCGATTTTTTTCACTGGGGCCTTCGGTGGAGCCCCCTACGGGCGACGGAACGCTGTGCTGGGTGGGGGAGACGCATGCGATTTTTTCCACTGGGGCCTTCGGTGGAGCTCCCCATGGGCCACAAAACGCTGTGTTGGGTGGTGGAAACGCATACCACTGGGGCCTTCGGTGGAGCTCCCTATTTATGGGCCACGAAACGCTGTGCTGGGTGGGGGAAGCGCATGTGGAAGTTTCTTCTGGGGCCTTCGGTGGAGTTCCCTATGGGGCCACGAAGCACTGTACTGGGTGGTGGGGACGCATGTGGACGGTGCCATTGAGGCCTTGGGTGAAGCTCCCTATGGGTCCACGAAGCGCTGTGCTGCGTGGGAGAGTCGCATAAGGACCGTTCCATTGGGTTCTTCGGTGGAGACGCACGCGGAGATGCGTGCGTGCGGTAGCATTGGGACCTTCGGTGGAGCTCCCTATGGGCCCACGATGCGCATGAGGTGTGTGTGTGTGTGTGTGTGCGTGTGTGCCGAAATCGTAGACTGATGCGAAATGCAGAGGCAGGGATGCGATGAGGGAGGGGGAGGAGGAGGAGTGGAGGAGGAGAAGACGGGGCGCTGTCTGTTCAAAACGAGGACCCAACACCGTAGGATGGTAGGGAAAGAGATCATGACGGGAGGATTCTGTACATGTTCGGCCTCCGGCGGCCCTCGCTTGGCTTCGGGACCGTCAAGAAACGCCTCAGGATGAAACACCGCTCCCGGGAAAGGGTCCGGACTTCTGGGGACCGTGTATTGAAACTTGCATGGCGCAGGACCTAATCATATGCAGTTGTGGGTATCGGTGGAGCTCCCTATGGGGGCCCCGATGCGAGCTTTGCATTCGAACTTTGCCACGCATGCGAACTTTGCCAGTAGGGCCTTCGGTGGAGAGACTCAGGGAAAAGCCTGCGAACCTAGTGGGCGGGGGAGACGCATACGATCTTTGCCTCTGGGGCCTTCGGTGGAGCTCCCTACCGGATGGGTGGAACGCATGCGAACTTTGCCATTGGGACCTTCGGTGGAGCTCCATATGGGCCGCGCAACGTTGTGCTGGGTAGGTGAGACGCATGCGAACTTTGCCTGTAGGGTCTTTTGTTGAGCTCCTTATGGGTCACGAAACGCGTTATGCTGGGCGGTGGAAACGCATGTTGACTTTGCCACCGGGGCCGTCGGTGGAGTTCTCTATGGGGCCACGAAATGCTGTATTCGGCTGGGGAGACGCATGCGTTTTTTTCCACTGGGGCCATTGGTGGAGCTCCCTACGGGCCACGGAACGCCGTGCTGGGTGGGGGAGACGCACGCGAAATTTTCCACTGGGGTCTTCGGTGGAGCTCCCTATGGGGCCACGAAGCGCTGCACTAGACGGGGATACGCATGTGGACGGTCTCACTGGGGCCCTCGGTGGAGCTCCCTAAGGAGCCACGAAGCGCTGTACTGTGTGGGATGGACGCATGCGGACGGTTCCACTGGGACCTTCGGTGGAGACGCATGGGGGAGACGCATGCGGACGGTGCTTGGGGGGCCTTCGGTGGAGCTCCTTATGGGGCCACGGAGCACGGTATTGGGTGGGAGAGACGCAAGCGGCAAGTCGGCAAGTCCTACTTGGGCCTTCCGTGGAGCTTCATATGGGTCACGAAGCGCTGTACTATGGGGCAAACGCATGCGGACGGTACAGGGTGGGGGAGACGCATGCGGGCGGTCACACTGGGACCTTTGGTGGAGCTCCCTATGGAGCCACGAAGCGCAGTTCTGGGTTTGGAGACGCGTGCGGGCGGTAGCAGTAGCGCGGAGCTCGCTGCGAGCACCGACCGCCCGAGTGCCAGGTATGCGGCGTCACCTGGGGCACCCGCGCGAGGCACCCGCCAGGCCGTGCCGCACCCGAACGGGGGCAGGCCACCAAAGCCGCTCCCTGCACCCCGCCGCTACGCAGAGGCCGAGGCTCACACCTGCTCGGCATGCCAACTGAGGTCTGCGGCGTCACCTGGGGCACCCGTTCGGGGCACCCACCAGGCCGTGCCGCCCTCAAAAGAAGGCAGGCCACCGAAGCCATTGCCTCAGGCAGGAGCCACTGGCGGGGCGCCAGTTGACGGACTGCAGCATGCGCGGCAGCTCGTCGCTGGCTTGGGGTTGGTAGTCGACCGCCCGCCGCAGGTCGCCGTCCGCCACAGCAAACGCCCTCCCAGTCGGCCGCGCCATCAGCCCCAGGCTCTCCAGAGGCCGCCACCGCCGCGGCCGACGGCGCAGCGTGCGCCGCAGGCGGGCCGGAGCCCGCGCCCGCAGCCCCCGCCGCCGCCGCCGCCGCCGTCGCCGCCTGCGGGGCCACCAGTGGCCGCCGCGGTTTCCGCGGCCCGCGCCTCCGAAGCGCGGCAGCGTCAGTTCAGCCGCCCACCAGCGGCGCTGGGCCGAGCTGCACCAGCTCAAGGCCCCGAGCGCCGACGACTCCGCCTCGGGCCAGCCCGCCGCCAGGCGCCACCCCGCCGCCCGCGCCGCCAGGAACGGCACCAGCCGCCCCCCGAGGCGCGACGACGAGGGCGTCGGCGAACGAGTCGTCCACCAAGTCGTTGTCGCTGTCGCCGAGGGCGGGTCCGCCGCGCCGCCAGCCTCTCTCCAGGCGCCACGGCAGCCGCAGCCGCCTCCTGCGTCCTCCAGGAAGCCCCACCGCCACCGCTAGCAGGACCTCTGCCATCACGATCACGCTCCTGCGTGCGCCGAGCCGCCCGGCGCTCGCGGTGTCGGCAGCGCCGCACGCGCTTCGCCTCCGCCGCCGCACCCACCTTTGGCCCGCCGTCGCCGTTGTCCGCCTCCGAGCCGCCAGCACCAGCAGCGCCACCGCGCGCGGGCCACGGGCGCGCGACAGCGAATGCTGTCGCGGCCACGGCCGCCCTCGCGACGGCGCCCAAGGTGCGCCGCGGCGCTCCAGCGAGCTGCGCCCCGCGGACCGCCGCCTCCACGAGGAGGGCGGCGTCCGCGGCGCAAATGGCCTCTCTAGACCCCGCCATCCTGGCCCCGGCACCCTCAGGAGCCACACCGGCGACGGCGGCGGCCATGCTATCGTTTGAGCCAACAATGTAGCGGTGGGACCTTTGGTGGAGCTCCCTACGGGGCCACGTAGCGCCATAGTGGATGGTGGGGTCGCATGCGGGCGGTAGCATTGGGACCTTCGGTGGAGCTCCCTATGGGGCCATGGAGCGCAGTACTTGGTGGTGGGAACGCATGCGGGCGGAAGCAGTGGGACCTTCGGTGGAGTTCTGTATGGGGCACTGAAACGTATGAGGTGTGTCCCTAAATGGTTGACAAATGCGGAGAGCAGTTGCAGCGATGGGATGTGGGAGGGGGAGGAGGAGGAGGAGGAGGAGGAGGAGGAGGAGGAGGAGGAGGAGGAGGAGGAGGAGGAGGAGGAGGAGGAGGAGCAGGAGCAGGAGCAGAGCAGCAGGAGGAGCAGGAGCAGGAGCAGAGCAGGAGCAGGAGCAGGAGCAGAGCAGGAGCAGGAGCAGGAGGAGCAGGAGCAGGAGCAGGAGCAGGAGCAGGAGCAGGAGCAGGAGGAGGAGCAGGAGCAGGAGCAGGAGGAGGAGAGGAGGAGGAGGAGGAGAGGGCAGGAGCAGGAGCAGGGAGCAGGAGCAGAGCAGGAGCAGAGCAGGCAGAGCAGGAGCAGGAGCAGGAGCAGGAGCAGGAGGAGGAGCAGGAGGCGGAGGAGGAGGAGGAGGAGGAGGAGGAGGGAGGGAGGAGGAGAAGCAAGAGCAAGAGCAAGAGCAGGAGCAGGAGCAGGAGCAGGAGCAGGAGCAGGAGCAGGAGCAGGAGCAGGAGCAGGAGCAGGAGGAGGAGGTGGAGGAGGAGGAGCAGGAGCAGGAGCAGGAGCAGGAGGAGGAGGAGGAGGAGGAGGAGGAGGAGGAGGAGGAGGAGGAGGAGGACGTGACGCGCAAAGCAAGGACCCAACACCACAGGATGGTTGGGAAAACTCAGAACGTCGCATTTCTGTGGTTCCCCTCGCCCGCTCACGCAGCTTCGCCTGGCACTCACGCGCGACGCGAAAACGAAACCTAAACAGAGTTCCTGGTCGGGGGTCTCCGTTTCACTTCGAACTCACCCTCAAATTTCCGATCCACGGTATCGCGGATCAGGCCCTTGGGCCGTGACCCCGTGGATTCGGGGTGTTCTTGCGCTGATGCCCCGCGCGGAACGTATTCGCGGAATCGCGCCCCAGCATCGGGAGTGGATATGAATAGTTACATCCGCCGCTCGTGCGGGGTGCAGATGGAAATATCGCCCGATGAGCCTCATGCAGTTGTGCAGGCCCAGATGGCCAGACTGTGTCTGAGTAATTAGATTGGGTCGGAGGATCGCGCCGCATCGCCAGAGTATCGGCGATCCAGCTCGATGTGGAGCCACGCCGTCGTCGCCGACGCATCGAGCTGCAGTCAATGGCGGCGCCAGAGAGGGGGGGTCCAGCGCCGATCCGAGAATCCGCGCGGACCTCAGAGTTGTTCTGCTTCTGTTCTATTTGTTCCCCCATAACTTGGATGGGCCTGGCGGATGGCGAGCATCGCCGATGCATCGGCAACGTCGGCGATGCGTCGGCGCTACCGTCGTGACAAAATCGGGCCCACATCGAGCTGCATCGCCGATACACCGGCGATGCCGCGCGATCCTCGGACCCCACCCAGGATCGGCGGCGAGCGAAGGGGGAAGTGAGAGGGGGCGGGCCTTCTCAGAATGCTCGGAAGCCACCTGGCCTTTCCCCGACGTCACAGACATCTTCTCAGAGGGCGCGAGACCTTCTGAGAAGCCCCGCCGCCTTCTGAAAAGGCCTCCTCCTTCGCACTTCACCCCCTCGCTCGCCGCCAGCAGGGGTCCTCTAAGCTGACAGGGGGTGGCTTACTCGAAGACCCCCTCCTCCTGCTCCTCCTCCTCCTCCGCCTGCTCCTCATCATCATCCGCAACCACTACCATCATCTTCTTGCCCCGTCCTCCCCTCTCCTCCTCCTCCTCCTCCTCCTCCTCCTCCCCTCCTCCTCTCCTGCTCCTCCTCCTCCTCCACTGTTCTCCTCTCCTCCTCCTCCTCTCCTCCTCCTCCTCCTCCTCCTCCTCCTCCTCCTCCTGCCTCCTCCTCCCTGCCTCCTCCTCCCTCCCTGCCTCCTCCTTCCTCCCTTCCTCTCCCCCTCGCGGCGGCAGAGCGGTGTCGGGCCGCGGCGCGCTCCCGGCGCGCGCCTCGGGAGGGGGCGGCAGGGGAGGCTTCAGCCACGGCCTCGGGGGGGGCCCTCCTCCTCCTCCTCTTCCTCCTCCTCCTCCTCCTCCTCCCTCTCCCTCCTCCTCCTCCTCCTCCTCCTCCTCCTCCTCCTCTTCCTCCTCCTCCTCCTCCCTCTCCTCCTCCTCCTCCTCCTCTTCCACGGTCGGAGGAGGGCCAGCCGACAGGTTTGTTTTTTGTTTGTCTGCGCGAGGCGTCTCGACGCCGCGGCTGTGAGGCTTCAGCCCAGCGCAGTTCGGGGCGCGTTCGGCAGCTTTTTGTGGAAGCCTTCGAAGAAGAAACGACGGCATAGGCATAGACCTTTCGGCGCTCTGCGCCGATTCCTCGGATCCGCGCGGGGCCCCCGGCGGCGCCCCTGGCGCCGCCCCGAGCGCCAGCCGTTTCTGTTCATGCAGTTTTTCTTCTAGAGTCGTCGAGAATCAAGGAACCCCTAGCCCCAAAAGCACGATGACGACGTGGCCGCACTTGGGTCCCCGTCGTTGCACTAAGGATCGTAATTCGGGGCGGTTTGGTCGGATACGTCTGCTGAGAAGACTCCCTATCCCCACAGTACTGGGCCCTCCTAACTTAGGTCCCCTCCTAAAGGGTTAGGGGTACTTTCATTACTTAGCATCGAGTGTTTTGTTTGACATCCACGTCAACACCTGCTGAACCCAGGACTCTGCCTGGAACGAGCACCTGCAACGGAGGGTGGCGCGGGACACGCCGACAGACAGGGTTGCAAGCCAAGGCCTTGAGTGTCCTCGGAATTCCGTTTTTAGAGTGCGTCAGCATGCGTTAGCGTTTGGTACTGGATGAGGATGCGCAGACATGGCCTCGATGAACGCCGATTTAGCGTCGACTAGGGTCGGTTAGCGTCGATGCGCGAGGCCCGCAAGATGACACGCGAGACTCACAGGAGTTGCCGCAGAAGATGTGGAGGGGACTCGCTGCTCCCTGCACTGCCCTGGAAAAGCGACGCAACTTTACTCGTCTATTTGTTCGTTTTCGTCGCCTTCGGTTTTTTGTCGGTCTCGGTCTCCCAGTGACGTTGTCTGGCCCCGTGACCATCAGAAACGGACCCAGGATGGAAAACTAGCCCCAGGGAAGTTCCTTGGACGATTCTCCGCTGCAAAAGTAGCATTGCGTTTCCAGGGGTGTGTGTGGGTTCTTCCATGGTCGTACCGTGAGTACCCCTCGTTCACCCAGGAAATCTTGGGGTTCAAAGGGGGATTTCGTTCAGTGCGGGCAGCCAGTGCTCTTGGGCACCCTTGTCTGGTTTCCTTCCAGAGCCTCGGCTTATCAGATAGTGGGGTGGGGGGTCTCGCATGGTCGGGGAGGAACGGGAAGTGTGGCAGAAGGGGCGGGGAGCATTGAAGAGAATCGGGGCGAGTCGCGATCTCATTCGATTCGATCCGATTTTGATTGCTTCCGATTCCGATTCGACTTCGGATTTCGATTTGGGCTCCGATTTTTAACTGGAGGCATTACAGCCTGCCGATTTCCGCCGGTTCGACTTTTTCCCGACTCGGCTGCCGGTTTCTTCCGATCCGATGTGTTTCGTTTGTTGATCCAATTTATTGATTCGATTCTGGGCTCTCATGTGTACGTAGGCGGCTCGTTCCCTTCAAACGGAGCAGGTCCTGGTTCCTTGCGAAGACTTACGCGCGCATGTTTGTCAACTGGATCAACGACGAAGATCCGAAGCACAGGATGGACACCAGCAAAGTGACGGACGTGATCCGCTCTGGCAGGGCGTGGTTGGACTCCGAGGCGCTCTGGTACAAGGATTCCGGGAGGGGACTACTTGGGGCACTCGTTTCAGGTTGGTTTGAGGAGTTGTCTTGTGTATTTTGAATTGGGTTGGACGGGCATCAGACATATTATGTCATATGTAAGTGTCTTCATGCGCGGAGACCGGGTGGGCAACTCTGAATAGTTCCATGTGTCCTGACCATGCCGTATTCCACCTCGTGGACCCAACAGGAAATGTGAGATACGTGCTATCTTCTCTTGGCGGATCGCTTAATTTCGCGAGGTCCTTGTACTGCAGTCTCAGTGTCGGGCTTTGGGGCAGACCGATGAAAAGGCTATCGACTGACGAGATGCCGAAGCTACTGGCTCTGAATTATGGGCTGGCGACCATCACACAGATTCAGTGTTGCTTCGAATGGGCGAGATTTAAGTCTCCGCGCAGTTCGTCTGCTGCCAGCGCACGGCAGGCGAGGGCAGTCATGAATGTATAATCGCCCAGCTTAACCGCAGGAGGTCTTTAGTTTTGAAAGATCGCGTTCTGTGGTCGCTTGGAGGGGGGGGGGGCTTGGAACCGGACACCCCCCCTTGAATAGAGGCCCTTCCCGTGACGGAGGGTGGGGGGATTCGAGCCCCCCCCCTCCTTCCTCCCCTGCTTTTCCTCTCTCCCTCTCCTCGGGCCGGCGCCTGCGTCGGGGGTGGCGGCGGCGGCGGGGACGACGACTTCCTTTTCTGGGCCGGCGCCAGCGCTTGCGGCGGCGGGCGGCGGCGGCGCGGAGCTTCGACGAGGACGACCTTGGTGGTGGTGGGTTGTGGTGGTGGTGGTGGTGGCGGTGGTGGTGGTTGTGGTGGTGGTGGTGTGGTGCTTTGTTGTGGTGGTCATGGTGGTCGTGGTGGTGGGTGGTGGTGGTGGTAGTGGTGGTGGTGTGGTGGTGGTGGTGGTGTGGTGGTGGTTTGTGGTGGTGGTGGGTTGTGGTGATTGTGCTGGTGGTGGTGGTGGTTTGGTGGTGGTGGTGTGGTGGTGGTGGTGGGTTGCGATGGTGGTGGCGGTTTGTGGAGGTGGTCCAGGTGGTGGTGGTGGTGGTGGCGGCGGTGGTGGTGGTGGCTGTGGTGGTGTGGGTTGTGGTGGTGGTGGTGGGTTGTGCTGCTGGTAGTGGTGGTGGTTATGGCGGTGGTGGTGGTGGTGGTGGTGTGGTAGATTTTGGTGGTGGTGTAGTGGTGGTGGGTTTTTGTGGTGGTGGTGGTGGTGGTGGTGAGTTGTGGTGGTGGTGGTTGTGATGGTGGTGGTGGTGGTGGTGGAATGAAGTGGTGGTGGTGCTGGTAGTGGTGGTGGTGGTGGCGTGGTGGTGGTAATCGTCGCTGCGTCCCCGCCGTCGCCGGCGCCAGCGCCGGCGCTGCTGGCTGCCGCCAGCGCCGGCGCCGGCGCGGGGTGGGGGGGGCGGGCTTGGACCCCTCCCAGCCACCCGCGGGCTGCCTCTGGTCATTGTCGCTGCGTCCCCGCCGTCGGCGCTGCTGGCGGCCGCCAGCGCCGGCGCTGGCGCCTGTGGGAGGGGGGGGGTTCGGGAGGGGTGGGGGGGTTGGGGTGGGTGGGCCCCCCTGGATCTGATCGACGGCGCCGAGTGTGGGGGGGGGGGGGGGCACCCCCCGTACCCAAACGCGCCGCCGAATGATTCCAAGGTGACCGCCCGTGGAACGCGCTCTCTTTTGGTTTTGATCCCCCCCTTGTCCACTGGTCGGTGAATAGGACTGGTCCTAAAACCTCCGTCTCCTTCTCCTCCCGCCTCTCGTTGTCCTAGCTGAATCACTTGTCTGATATTATGGGGGTCCCCGACTCCTTGAGCTCGAGGACGCGCGTGGGTCGAGACGCAAAGGGATACAGTCGGATCGAGGTACAAGATCGAGGTCGGTTCGGGGAGTGTGCCTAGTGGTCTTCGTACGTGATGGATGTTATTACGCATCCTGGGGGTGGGCATCCTCGAAGGTTTTTTTCAGCTTGGGCCAGCGAGGAGTCTAATGTTTTTGAAGGGTGTTCTTCTTTCCTTAGGTCCAACTTCATAAGGCAAGAAGCATACAGACACAATCAATCGTCGATCCCCCGGAAAATCATGGGAATAATGGCAACTGGGGGAAGCGAACACCAAGAACATAGGAAAAAACACGTATGGGCCATCCTGGGATTTGTGTGTATTTTTTCGTGTGTGTATATGTGCATGTGTGTGTGTGTGTGTGTGTCCCTGGGCCCCTTCTTCACGACTGTATCCATCCTGTTTCGGGCCGCGTTGCTTCAACTTTGGACCCTCGCACACGATTGGTGCCGACTTGCGTCGATTAGCGTCTGGGAGTCGATGAGGTAGCGCCGATCTATCGTCGGCTAGCGTCGATTTAGCGTTGATCGAGCGTCGGCAAGCATCGATTTAGCGTCGATCTGGTGCCGATTGGCATCACTTCGCAAAAGCCGACGAAATTGTATGGGAGGCTCCCAGGAGTTGCCACCGAAGACTGGCCATCCAGTCTCGGGCTGCACCGCTTCCATTGTTCGGGGCCCTCGCAGAGACGTGCTTCGGTGCCGCCGGTGGGCCCGCCCGCAGGGGCTCTCCGGGCCGCCCTGGTTCCCCCCCCCAACGCGGGGCGCGCCGTCCTGCGCGGTTCTCTCTCGCGCGTCGTCGCGGTCTGCGATGGCTGGGTGCTCCTCCTCCTCCTCCTCCTCCTCCTCCTCCTCCTCCTCCTCCTCCTCCTCCTCCTCCTCCTCCTCCTCCCCCTCCTCCTCCTCCTCCTCCCTCCTCCTCCTCCTCTCCTCCTCCTCCTCTCTCCTGTCCTCCTCCTCTTCCTCCTCCTCCTCCTCCTCATCCTCTTCCTCCTCCTCCTCATCCTCCACGACGAACCAGAGTGAGCACCACGCCGGGCGCCCTCCAGCTGCGCGGTTCTCTGGCTCGGTCGCGGTCTGCGAAGGCTGGGGGCTGCTGCATGTTGGGCCGACGAACCAGAGTGAGCACCACTCAGGACTCATCTCGATACCTCCGCTGCGATTCGATTCCGATTCGATTCGGCTTCGCATTCCGATCTGGGCTCCGACTTCCTAAATGGAGGTTTACTGGCCTGCCGATTTCTGCCCATTCGACTTCTCCCGACTCGGCTGCCGATTCCGCCGATCCGATTCATTGCGATTGCAGATCCGACTTGATTCATGTCGATTCGATCCGATCCGACCCGATCCGATTTCGATCCGATCCGATTCCGATTTCTATTCATGTCGATTCGAATCTGGTCTCTCCTGGAAGGGTGGGGGCTGCTGCATCGTGGGCCGGCGAACCAGAGTGAGCACCATTTAAGTCGCAGGTGTTTTTTCTCCCCAAACCCCCGACTGTTCGACGGAAACCAGTGGAGCCGCTCCGAAAAAGGGGGAAGCCTTGGGATACATCACAAGGGGGCGATTCGGACGCAACACTGTCGAGGATGGATGCCCCCCCCATCGTATATCCCAGGATTGGGCCCAAATTTGTTTGCTCGATTCGAAACCCCACGAAGCCCGGGATAGGGGTCGACATATCCTCTTCTACCGAGATCGTCGGAGGTCGAATAGCGACTTGGCATCTCTCGAGTCTCGAGAGAGCGCTGCGCCCGCAAGGTTTGCCAGCCTGCGCCCGCCAGGTTCCGCTGGGGGCGTCGCGTAATTGGAGGGGGCGATAACTGGGGGGACAGCGAGGGCTGCAGAAATGGTATTGCAGATTTCGTAATAAAAGGGAGGGGTGTGAGCATGCTACGCATGAAATGAATTCAACGGAAATAAATCGCAGTGGATCCGTGAGTGGATCAATCTAGACTGATGAGGCTATGATGCCTCTTTTGATTTTGAGCCGGCTATGATGCCCGCTCGTGCCCACCCCGTCCCGTCTTCAGGGTTTTCGCATCCTCCTATGATGGTAAGATGGGAAGACGGGCCGCCGCCCCTGGCACTGCACGTACGGCGCCAGGTTTGTGGGGATTTGGTTCGACCCCCGCAGTTCCGGTGATGGAAACTGCAAGGGGTGTGAGGCCTCATGATGGTCCTCACTGGTAAGGCCTATGATGGTCCTCACCAGGGGGGGGGGGAGGGCAAGGGCGGACCAGGAGGAGGAGGAGGACAGGGAGGAAGAGGAGGACGATGACGAGACAGTTGAGTTCAATGAACAGATTGAGCGCGAAGGCCTATGATGGTCCTTTTTCCCAAAACGAGCCTTGCTGATGGCCCCGAATTGGGTGCGAGGTGCCTATGATGGCCCCTCTGGTTGCCTATGATGGCGGCACTAGACGACCGGCAGGGGACTGGGTCCCGTTCGCGGCCCATTAGGGGCGAGCATGCTACGCATGGAATGAATTCGATGGAAATAAATCGCAGTGGATCCGTGAGTGGATCAATCTAGACTGATGAGGCTCTGATGCCTCTTTTGATTTTGAGCCGGCTATGATGCCCGCTCGTGCCCACCCCGTCCCGTCTTCAGGGACTTCGCATCTTCTTATGATGGTAAGATGGGAAGACGGGCCGCCGCCCCTGGCACTGCACGGACGGCGCCAGGTTTGTGGGGATTTGGTTCGACCCCCGCAGTTCCGGTGATGGACCCCCCAAAACAAACCATTTCAGACCCCCCCCCCTGGGAAAACCCTCCAAAACATCGTCCCCAGACCCCCCCAGGCCCTCCAAGATAGCTTGGAAAAGACCCCCCCCGAAATGAGACCCCCCTCCCTTTATTACGAAATGTGGGGTACCCTTCAGGCCCCTAAAGGGTCCCATTCGGCCCAAAAAGAAGCGTTCAGGGCCTGAGAAGAGTGCACCGTTCCCCCTCCCCCATGATCGCCCCCACACCATGGAGCGACGCCCAGGTTTCGCTTGCAATAAGGGTTGTTTGCTAAAGGCGGTCCTGTCCCCCTTCGAAAATTGCATGTCCCTTCGCTCGAGGAGGGTCGCTGTCCCGCGGGCAAGGCTTCTCGTATAATGCAATACTCGGATTCGATCTAGCAAGCCATGATGAAACAGTTTTGCTTGCAGTTGTGGTGTCTTCTCCCTCCCTTCCTCCTCCTCCTCCTCATCCTCCCTCTACCTTCCAAAGTTTGCAGTGTTGACCGCACGACGCGTTTCACCCAGCTCAATGCCAACGCAGTTGTGGTGTGCACGTTTCTTTGTTCCTCTCTCTCTCCCTCTCTTTCTCTCTCTCTCTCTCTCTCTCTCCCTCCGTCGTATCACTTTTGAACTCGTCGTGTGGCCAAGACGCTGACATACGGACCACTGTGGTCTCGGCAGGGGCTGTGCGGGCCCATTTTTTGTTGTTGTTGCCGAGGCCTGCCGTGGCCACGACAGCCCGTGCCTTTGTTATCTGGCGTGCTGAATGGAAACGCGATGACTGTAGTTAGCTGCCGGCTCCCGAAGCTTCGGCGCCTCAAAGTGTGCAGTGAAGCGCGTCGCCGCGATCACGGTCGGATTCTCTGCCGGTGTGACGGCAGGCTTGATGCAGGGGCTCGCTCGCCGGTGGTCCGAGTCTCAAGCTTGGGAGCGAGAGGGTTTCAGATTATCTTCGCAGCAGCCTCGTCTCCGAGGCGTGGCGGGGGACGGCGACGACGGGATGAGCGAGGAGGAGCTTCTGCAGGAGCTGGAGGCGGCAGAGGGCGATGCCCCGTCCCTCGCCGTGGCCCGGCGTCTGCAACGGGCCCGAAAGCACATTTGCAAGGAGAAAGGCTGGCGAAACTTGAGCTCGCTGAGGCCTGCGTCTGCGGTGGCTCCGAGAGCGACTCTGGCGCCGCTCGGAGGCGCGGATTGCTGGCGACGCTGTTGGGCCGCTCTGGGATGCGGATCACCCAGCGCGAGGCCGCTGGGAAGGCGGGCGCGGCGACCCAGGGCCCCCCTGCTCCCTTGGGATCGGCATCCTGGCCGCGGCGGCGCCGGGAGGAGGCCGGCGGAGGTAAGGCAGCCTTCGTCGCCTCCGGAAGGCGCGGGTCGCCGGTCGCGATGCTGCTGGGAGTCGCGCATTGGGAATCTTGCCGTCGAAGCCGCTCACAGGCGCGGGTTGCCCCGCGCGGCGCTGTTGGGAAGGCGGCCTCGCGGCAGACTTGCCCGCGATCATGCCGCGTGCGGCCTCCGCGCACGCCGCGCGGGTGAGGCCTCGCACCCGAGCCGTGGGCGGATGCCCCGGGCCGCGGCCGCGCGCCCCGCCCGGCGCTGCAGCCGTGCTGGCTCCCTCGGAGGGCGGCGCGGCTGGTGAGGCGGATTCGGTGCTGCTCGTCGGCCCAGGGGAGGAGGAGGAGAGGGAGGAGGAGGAGGACACGCTAGGTGCGCTCGCGTCATATCTGATGTCCTACACCTCCTTCCCATCCCTTACCATGGCGCTGATTTTCTCTATCCGCGGACGCGTGTCGTAGCGGACCTGTGGCTCCGTGCGCGCGTGCGTAGTGGGTGGTGGTGCGCGTGCGTGCGTGCGTGCGTGTGTGCGTGGTTGTCGTGGTGCTGGTGCTGGTGCTGGTGCTGGTGGTGGAGGTGTTGGTGTTGGTGCTGGTGCTGGTGGTGGTTGTGGTGGTGGTGGTGGTGGTGGTGGTGGTGGTGGTGGTGCGGCGGCGGCGCGGTGGTGGCGGGCGAAAAGGCGCGCGAGAAAGAGGCCCGCGCTGGGGCGAGAACGCCATCCTGAACGACGGAGGCCAAACACCGATCTGAAAACGAGGCCCACGCTGCAGCGGGAACACGATTCGGAACGATTCGGGAACAGAAATGAGGCCGGCGCCTCAGCGAGAGCAGCATTTCGGAAACAAACGCAGGCGAAAACCCGTTTCCCGGGAATCCTCTGTAAAAAACAGTACGTGTGGGGGGGTCGGATATTTTCGGGACGCCATCAGGGGAAGTGGGAGAGTATTTTCATATTGTGTAATTGTGGAGGAGGAGGAGGAGGAGGAGGAGGGGGAGGAGGAGGAGGAGGAGGAGGAGAAGAAGGAGGAGGGGGAGGAGGAGGAGGAGGAGGGGGAGGAGGAGGAGGAGGAGGGGGAGGTTGAGTCCCTGGGCTGGTGTCCCAGGAGGGCGGCGCGCTTGCTGGGATGGATACGCCGCTGGCCGGAGGGGCAGCTTTCTCAGGCTCAGCCCGCGGCGCAGATCGCAGGAGGGTGGGAGTCTGCCAGCAGCTTGCCGCCGCCTCTGCTGCGGTGCCCTTTGTGCACCGATTTCTCGGCGAGGGGACGGGCGCAGTATTTGGTCGCGCGCCGTGCTCGGTGTCACGCCGGGCACGTTCTCTCGGAGCATGCTTGCGACGTACTTCGTGGACTCGACCGCGGGGCATGTGCAGGTCGCGGCTCCCTGAGGGCGACGGCGTGCCGGGGGTGCCCGCGGCGCCAATCCACGGGGCCGCCAGGGCCGCCTGTGGCCGGTGACCAGCTGCCGCCTGCCCGGGCAGGGTGGCCAGCGCCTGCCCCTCAGGAGCCTATGCCTCCTGGGTTGCTGTCCTCGGGGGCGGAAAAGAGGGGGGTGATGACTAGGGGGGGGTGGATATCATGGCGTCAGCCATGATATTTTCCAGATTTCAGGGCGCCTCTTCTTATTTCATTACGTCCCTGGCCCCCCCGCTGGGCCGCGCACGTGCCGCCGGTCATGATTTGCACCCCCCCCTTTTGGACACCCCCCTCTTTGCCGCTCCCGATGGCCGACGAGCACGCGGACTTCCTGGCTCGGGTGCGCGACCTCCCGTCGACCACACTCCTTCGCGTGCCAGTGGGCCAGCGCATACGGCAGACCACAACATTCGCAGGCCTGCTCAATCGGATCGCCGAGAGCGACGTGGGCGCACTGCGTGCTCGAGGAAGCGCGGCCGCGGCTGCTGCTCGGCCCGGTACCTCGCGGAGTCAACATGCGGGTCGAGCTCGCGAGGCGCTTGCAGCTCTGGGCCGATGGGCAATTCATTGCTTTGATGTAGCGGGCTGAAGAGCACTGCCGGCGGGGTGTTGCCGACGTTTTTTTGACGGGCGCGTCCTGGACTCTTGCGGTCCAGTTTTCGTGCTCGAGTGCGCCTGGATCTGGAGTTGCCGACGATTTTTGACGAGCGCGCCCTAGAGTTTGAGTGTGCCGTTTCGTGGGATGTCTGCAGCGGGAGTTCGCGTCAAGTTTCACACTGGGTCGCGTCGTTTTCATGATGGCCCCGTCAGGCCAACCCGAGTCCCCCGAACCCTAGTTTTACTCACGTCTCCCCGATTCTGGACCATGTGGTCTCCCAGCCGTTGTGGAACCCTTTTGGGGAACATTGGCGAGCGCAAGAAATGTGAGGAGGAGAGGGAGGAGAAGGGGGAGAAGGGAAATGAGGAGGCCTCTTGAGGCCCTCTTGGGCCCTCCTGTGGGCTTCATGGAAGCCTCGTAAAAGGAGGCTATGAGGGGCCTCTTGGGGGCCTCTCTCGGAGGTTTGCTGGGGCCTCTTGCCCCTCGGAGGCCGTCTCGGAGGTCTCTGAGGGCAGGTCTCTTGAGGGTTTCTTGGGCCGTTTTGGGGTGACGTTGAGGGTTTACGGGCCGGGTAGAAGCGGCGGAAGCCCGAAATGACGAGAACGCTATTCTCATGTCGGTTTCCTGGAAATTCTCTTGGAGCCTTCTAGGAGCGTACCGGGGGCCTCCTGAGGTCGTCTGGAGGACATCTTAGGCCGTCTTGGGGTCATCTCGGAGGCCATCGCAGGCCATCTTGGTCGTCTTGGAGGCATTTTGCAGACCATCTTGAGCAATCTTACTGGCCTTCCTGGCCGTCCTTGGACATTTGATGTGGACGTTGAGGTCTTTGCGCGGCTCTCCGGGTGGCCGGCGGGATCAGCCAAATGCTCATTGGGAACCTTGAGACTAACCAAGAATTGCCTAACGTTAGGCACGCCGTGCATCCCTGTGGCAAGCCACAGGGGGCGGCGGATCTACATGCTTTCGGCCATTCCCGCCACCTTGCCTGGGTTGTAGGTCGGGGGCCTTCCAGGGCCCTGTTTGCCCGTCTTCCTTCGAGCGGACCACGCGGGAAGCGCAAGGAAATTGCGGGGGGCACAATGGGGATCCCGAAAAGTCTGAGAGTTTGGGGACTGGGGAAGTGAGAAGAGGCGGGCCTTCTCAGAAGTCTCGGAAATGTGCCGGTTTTCTGAGAAGTTTCCTAAGCCATCTTGGGAGACATAGAGCACCTTTCAGAGGGCGCGAGGGTTTCTGAAAAGTCCCGCCGCCTTCTGAGCAAGTTTTTTCCTTCTCACTTCCCCCCTCGCTCGCTGCCGAAGTCTGGGGCCCGAGTGCACCCCAGCTCGTGCCTCGCGGCACGGGGGCAGCTGTGTGCACGACCTCTGCTCGGTCTACCCCCCCGCTTCTGGGCGGTGGCGGCGTGCGCAGCGTGTGGCCAGTGCCGGGCCGCAGTTTTTGCAGGGCCGCTGGCTGCTGAAGGCCTTTCGGGCGGGGGCAGTGGAAGCTCGTGCCTCCCTTCTCCTCCCGGTCCTCCTTCCTCCGAGTCTACCGAACGAACGAAGGAACAAAGACGCGCCCTGACGGCGCATCGGCAACAAGGAAAACAAAAACAACAAAAACAACAACAACAACAACAACAACAACAACAACAACAACAACAACAACAACAACAACAACAATCATCTTAAGACTGATCGCTCTTATATGCGCGCGCGTCACTCAATATGTAAATCCCACCCTCGATACCCACCCTCTTCGTCTTCGGTCATACCCCTTTGGGGGTATATCTCTTTTACCTTTTACTCGCCACGTGTAGTTGGCGCAGCCCCTAAAACAGGAAGAGCAGGGGGAAGGAGGAAGGGAGAGCGAGGAGGAAAAGGGGGAGGGAGGGAGGAGGGAGGGAGGAGGGAAGGGGCAAGGGGGGGAGGATGGATGGAGGACGAAAGAGGTTAGCAGGAGGGGAGGGGGGCAAAAGAGGAGGTAAACAAACGGACGAACCAGACAGACGGGTCGAGCGGCGGAGTCTGAGGGGCGGGTCGGGCTGGCGGGGCGGACCAGGCGGGAGCGCCGCTCCCGGAGTAATTTGCGAGGAAGTCTCAGGCGGGAGCGCCTCCGCCTGAGTAAACTGCGAGGAAGTCCCAGGCGGGGGCGGGGGTCCGGAGTAATTTGCGAGGAAGTCTCAGGCGGGAGCGCCTCCGCCTGAGTAAACTGCGAGGAAGTCCCAGGCGGGGGCGGGGGTCCTGAGTAAATTTCGAGGAAGTATCAGGCGGGAGCGGTTGTTGTTGATGTCCGGGGGGCCAACAACGCAGTTTGATGCCCACGTTTTTCCCTGATAAAAAACAGGGTTCGAGCCCCGGAAGGGGCACTTCAATTGAAAAATACAATGTCCGCCGGAGGGGGGGATCAACAATAATTATTCTTCAGTAATTAGAGTTCAACAACAACAACACCAACAACAACAACAGCAGCAGCAGCAGCAACAACAACAACAACAACGACAACAACAGCAGCAGCAGCAACAACACCATAAACAGGAACTTGCGGCGCTCCGCACGGATTTCTTGGATCGGCGTTTGGCTCCTCCCGGCGGCGCTTCCAGCGCTGCCTTTGATGCCGGAGGCGCGCCAGGGAGGGGGTCTAGCGCAGATCCAAGAAATCCGCGCGGAGCGCCAACAATTCATGTGTATGGCGTTCTTTCTTTTTCGATTCAACCCTTTAAGTAAAGATTAGCGACTTTCCAAGGTTACCCTCCCGTCTTTGGCCGCTTTCACAGCCCGCGCCCCGCTCGACAGGCCCATGCATCCTTATTGTGAGATAGTGCATGCGTGGCGTGTGTATATGATCCATTCGCCGCCACTCGCCGCCATTTGACCTCTAGGGGTTTTTTTTTTACCACTGCGCTAAAACGCATCATAATCACACTGGTAGCGGAGCTACCTCACGATCCCCTTATCGCACCATTGCGCGCACGTCTCATCAGAGAGTGTCGCGCAACCTCTCTTTACTTTCCGTGCTGGCAGTTTCCTTCGCTAGGGGACTGAGCTTTGCGCCATGCCAGTTTCTTCTCTTCGTTCTTGGCCGAGCGCCGACGCGCTGACGCGGTCCGAGACGAAAAGTGGCTCCTACATCTACGACGGCACGGTGAACAATTTCCACGAGTGGGAATTCCGCACGAAGATGCGCATGAGTGCCGCCTTGGCCTCAGTGGATCAAAAGATGGGTGCACCACAGCTACGCCGCAGCTGTCAACAAGGTTGCAGAAGGCTTCAGAGGTGACGCATTCGATATAGCCATGGATATCGGCAAGGACGCGCTTCTGACTCCGAATGGGATCGATCAGCTGGTGCTGGCGTTTCGTCTTTCACTCCCCCCCATAGAAGCGCAGGAAGCGAAGATCCTGTTCCGGGCGGGGCAGAGACCAGATGGACCACGGTCTCGACAGCATGGTGAGCCTATGGTCCCGCACATATCCCGAAGGAAGCGCTGGTGAAAACTTGTTTCCAAGTTATATATATATATATATAGATATCCGATTTTGATGGGTGGCGATATGTTTGGATCCACTCTCTTGGACCATGCAGGCTTCTTCGACAAGATCAAGGCTGTCTTGATCCTCCAGCGCGGCCGCACACACATCCGCCAACAAGGCAAGGGTGAGTCTGGTAAAGGCTCCAGCTCTTCGACGCGGACGCAGCCCAGACCCAGCTACCAGAACAGGAGCAAGGGCAAGGGCAAAGTGCGATTATCCAGGCCGCAACGCGCCTTCTACTTTGCTCATGAAGGATGGTACGAGCAGGAGGAACATTACCCTGAGGAGCTGAGTCCCTACGGATACGACTCGTCCGCCATCGCAGAGGGTGCACCTGTCTGCGCGGCTGTCGACAGGCTTCGACCGTCTACTGCGGCGGAAGTGTTGGCATACCAACATCTCTCTAAGCATTGCGACAGTGGGGTTGAAAAGATATGCACCTCCAGACGGACAACAACAGTCATTTGTGGGCGAGAGACGCGAGCTGCCAGAACCACGGGCACAGGAGCACCCTGTGCAAAGACATCAAGGTGACGGAAGAGCTGCTGGGGATCCCAGAAAACCCCGAGTTCATATTAGAAGCATTTCGCCACATGGGAAAAGGGTGAACTGTCTGATGGAGTAGTCGTTCCTGCGCCGCCCGCGTCGAGGTCGCCACTGGTGACTCGAACGCGTCTCCAAAGGTCTTTACTAGACGACGCCCCACACGGCATACAGAGTGGTAACGAAGTGGTGCGCAGAAGAGCCGAGAATGCCGATGGTAGCGCGGGAAGGGTTTCCGATTCTGTCTCAGAGCCAGTTCCCGAACCAGCGAGCCCGCTTCTTGATGCCGCGCGCAGGGCCGGAACGCCAGGGCCGGGCGCGGATCTGGGAGCCCGCAGAGAAGCATCATTCGCCGTTAAGCCACATGAATCGCCCGTCGGATTGTTCAATGAACGCACCACTCATCCGCCACAGTCCAAGAGAAGATCCAGCGTGCAAAGGGTCTGTTATATCACCGAGAATCGGAGGACGTCAAAAGCGGTTTACGACTGGCAAGGCAAGACGAATGAGGAAAATGTCGGAAGTTCAACGCCGCTGTGCCCATTGATCCTTTTGGAACTGCAAAATCTCCTCGACGAAGGATACCGCGTGGCACCCGCGTAGTTGATTGAGATTGACAAGAACGAACATTTCTGTAGACCAGGTGGACCTTCGGTTGCACCGCAGCACAAGAGTAGGATACGCGGAGATTTGGAAGAGTCGTTGGGCACCCGCACGGATTAGCCAACGCGCGAATTCAAAGGGCTAAGGGTGATTGCGCCATGGGCCGCGGGCACAAAGAAGACCCCCAAGTGTGCCAGGACTACATCTGCTTGCTGCGAGGGTCAAGAACTCGACCGCCTCATGCTGCTCAAGCCACCGCCCGACGGAGTCAAAGGAGTGACGGATGGTGAATCACTGATCGCGCGCATGCCCGACTATGGCACGCGTGGCGCAAGACGAGGTTTATGGGGGAAAATTCACAGAGCGGTTTGAAGCCCATGGTCTAAAGTAGAATCGCACCATGCCTGCTTTGTTCAGTATTCACAAGGGCACGAATGAGATCGCGCGCGCGTTAGGTACGCATGTAGATGACGTACTATGGGCCGCAGAAGAGCACAGCCAGAAGCTCACCGATTCGGTATTCGTAGGGTTTGATACTCGCGAGATCAAGCTGGGTAATTGCCTTTCTTGTGGCTCAGAAGTTGTTCAAGACGAAGATTGGCACGGTGAGTATCGCGGCGAAGGGCCATATTGATAAGATCGAAGCTGCGTCGCATCCTAGAGGGTCACCTCGCGAGAACATGCAATGAGTGTGAGACAGCACAGCTCAGATCGGTCGTAGGTGCTTCGTCATGGGCTACACGTCAGTGCAGCCAGAGCTATTGTATCGCGTGAGCAGGCTGCATACAGCAGTGCGTCACGATAAGGTACTCCATCTCAAGGAAGCAACTCAGTCCGCTGACTGCGGATTTGTATTTTAAGGTGGAGCTGCTAAGTGTAATCAAGATATGATAGTTCTTACCCTTACTGACGCCAGTTGGGCAGGGGAAGGGGGTATAGTCCAGGGTCGAATCGAGCCTCTCAGATCACAGAGGGCTACGTTCAATGGGCTCGCAGGGCCTGGGTTCATCGAGGGGAGCAGTGATCATGTTCACCCTATATGTACATCTAGTAAACTTTTCAAACGAGTGTGTAAATCTACACTACAATCAGAGACTCTGGCTTGTTTATGGGGTGTAGCGTCTGGTGTGCGCATTCGTGCCGCCATCGCAGATGCGGGTGGGATGCTTGGCGCCGGAAAGAAGCTGCCAACCAATTATTATGAAGACAAATCAGCCATTTTTTAAAAAAAAATGGATGACGGATTGTACAAGCCTTGAAGAACACCTAATAGCCCCAACTCTGGGCAAGACCGAAGATAAGCGCTTGAGTATTGATTTAGGTAGTTCAAGACAGGATAGTTGGAGTAATGGAGTGGAAGAGGAGAGATCCTACATCCACCATATTTTGAGATAGGACCCGATCGATCGATACAAGTATTATGGCTGTGGATTGTCTGACGACGAATATGCCTACGTACGGATTTGCTGGTTAACATCTTACGTACTAGTTCGTCGGACGTACCCCAGACCTTGAATCTTCCTTTGGAGAAGGTTAAGAGATAACTGGCGATGGCCAGAGCGAGTGATATCCCATCGGAGAAGTGAGTGATTGAGTCCTGGCTGCCTTTGACCTGACGAATCCCGACATGGGAGTGCTCTTTTTGTTGCCCCTAGGGGCTTTTTCAGACCAGCGGTACTGCGCGGTCTTCCGGCTAGCTCGTGATAAAATGTCACGGGCGTGGAATAGTACATGCGTGACGTGTGTATATGCACCACTCGCCGCCACTCGCCGCCGTTTGACCTCTAGGTTTTTTGCCACTGCGCTAAAACGCATCCTAATCACACTGATCGTGCGTCGTTATTATACGGGTTGATTGTACCCGTCTCCAGAGAGAGAGAGAGAGAGAGAGAGAGAGAGAAAAAAAAAAAAAGAGAGTGAGTGCGCGTGTGTGTGTGCGCCAAGACCATGGTCAAAACAGAGGTCAGCCGAGAACTTCGGGTTCTTCCCTGAGTGGATGCACCAACGATGGAGACCAGCACAGGATGATTGTAATTGGGTGCGCACACTGTTCTGCTAGTGTGTGGCGGAGCCACAGGGTCGTCGTCGCCCTCCTCATCGTCATCGTCGTCGTCGTCTTCCTCCTGCACCCCTCCTGGTGTATCCCTCTCCCCGCCGCCGTGCTTTCTCCCTCCATGTCTCTCTCCGCTCCCTCTTCTCCGCCCCTCCCTTTCCAGTTCCTCTGTTTTTTGGCCCGGGCGTATCGGCCCTGCAGCGTGCTCGCCAGTTATGCAGCTGGTTCTCGAGCTTTGGCGAGCGCGCCGTGAGCCCGCCAACCGCTTGTTTTCCTGCTTGTTGGCCCTTTCGGGAGCCTAGCCTGCAGCGGTCCCCAGCAAAACAACATCAGAAATTCCCCCGGGGCCCGCCGCTTCCGGGCGGCCGATCCCGCGGCGAGACCAGAGGTCACGCGTTGTGCTCACGGCTCTATCCCCCCAGTCCTTGCACCTCCGGGTGCGTGCGCTCCAGTCCTTGCCCAGCGCCCTTGCTGCGGCACCCCCTTCTCCCCCAGCACTCGAGTAGTAGGGGATCGATCGAGTGCAGAATTGATCTACCCCAGGATCGATGCTTGTCGTCGAGCCCACGGGAAATACGCAGAACGTTTGTAGATCTACGAACCTTCCCCGCATTTTTGTGGAAGACTCGACGTAGAAAGCAATATTGCGGTTGACCAGTTCTGCAGTCGATCCCCTCTTCGAAGCACTGCGCCAGGAGACCGGAGAGTTCTTGGAAGCGCAGTTGGAGGAGATGGTGGAGAAGGCTCGGAAGGCTTCGGAGGAGGCCACAGGGCTCGACCCAAACGGCGTTCTGGCGATCTCGTGGGCCGTTTCGGTGCCGATTCGTGTTACGAAGACACACCAGGAGGAAATGAAAACACGACAACGAAAGAGTGATCGTTTTCGTATGCATTGTTTTGCTGATCGGCGCGGGCCCTCGAATCCCCCCTCCCCCCCATGAGTAGATTTGGCTGTTTCTGGCGCTGGTTTCAGGCAGGTGGAGTCTCCCCCACAGGACGCACTGTTGCAAACAGTCGCATTAAGCAGAGGTCCTGAGCCAGACTCCCCCTTCCCCCCTTCCCCTTCCGCCCAATGCCGAAACGCCGAACAGGAAGACGTTCACATACGTTGTTTCGGTCGAGCCCTGGATGAGGCCGCTGTCCAACACCTCGAACACTGCGTCTCGGACGACGGCTCACAG